AGTTATAATCAAAATTTTATACATGTTAAAAATAAACTATAAATTATTATAAATTTATAAATATATTATTGCATCACTCGTTATTATATATTATACAATACAAACTAAAACATGAAATAAATGTTTCCATGTTTATTTATAGCTAACGAGTGATGCAATAATATATTTATAAAGTATTACACAATATTAAGTCCATTGAATTTCAGGACCTATTTTTGGGTTAAGTAAAAATTGGGTAAAATTATTACACTTTGAACACGAAATACTTGTCCCACAAAACAGTGTATTTAATGCCCAGAGTTTGTGAATTTTATTTCATAAACTTTCAAGTTTAACCCATAATAAGTGTTTGGATAAATAAGTTTGTGATCAAAACACACTAACTTATCATTTTAAAATTCATATTTCTTATTGTAAATCATCTAAATAATTAAATCACTCGTTAACCATGTTCAGCAAAAAGTTAATCGCAATTGTGATTTGCCTGATAATTGTGGCCATCAGTGAAACAAGCGCTCAAAGAAATCGCAACATTACTCTAGATCTCGGGTATGTATTTATTTTTTATGCATATTTAAAACAATTACCTTTATTAACTATATTTAAAATAAACTTAATAAACATAACTGTTTAAAAATTATAGCAATAATTTTAACTTTAAAATAAATAAACTAAAAATATTAATTAACCATATTTACGTACAGAAAACTATTTCGTGTGGGACTACTGACAGGCCAGGGAGGGTCCAAACTGGGCCTCAATGTACTGAACGGCTTGAGTAATGTGGAGATCGATCGGCAAAAGTACCCGACAGTGGGCGGCGGCACCGGTGTTAGCCATAGCATCAATGTTAATCGACCCGTCACTCTACTCGGCGTACAGCAAAAGCTCCGTGATAAAATTAGACAAGATGTCCAGGTGCTCGCCACCGTACTAGCTCCACCAAGACGGGTTAATGACATTGGTCACTTCTAATGTACAAAGTTATATATATTATATAATATTTATTGTTATCGTTTTTACCATATTTTGTGATGTTTACATATGTGTACTGTTGTTGTTGTTTAAATAAATTAAAACTATTTTCAAAATCAAAGCCACTGTTTTAGTTTGAAAACTTGAATTACTTGTTTGAAATGTCACACAAGCTTACGGTTTAACACATTTATACAGTTTTTGAAAACTTAAAATACAAGTTTTAAAGGGTAAGAACAAGATTTTATAAAAGTATATTGTTTGCACAAAGTAAAATATTTATTGAATTTATTAGGATTTATAATATTTGTTTTATGTGAAACAAGTTGATTTTACAAACATATTTACCTTATTTATTTACCAAACTTATTTATTTTTGCAAATTATAATGATACCCAAGATGCTGTGCCTAATTATGTGTTTGATTGTATTAATGATCACTAAATCCAGTTGTGCCACAATTAAAACGACTGGTTTAAAAGTAAATAATGCTATTAAAGTCGGCGACGACAACATAACCAACTCATATATTATTATGCAAAATGGTACTAGGGCATTGTGTGAGAATAGTGACGGTGTTTTATGACTATGCTAACTGTCCCATAAACTTGACTTTAGCCATACAAGAAACTAGACGGAACGACAATATTCAAGCTCGGTCAAGTGGCAAACCAGCGGATGAGTTGTGTGGGTACATGTATGGCGTGCCAACTATATTGAAATGTCCCATCAGATTGTATTTGAATATTGAGAAGCATATTCGCGATGTAATGAGCAAATTTCGATGGTAGTACAATTGCTCAACATTTACACCCGGTAAATATGATAAGTCTATAAGATATTTAGCTATAATTTAAATATTATTGATACTATAATAAATTGAATTGTACTTAAGATTCATTTTGAAATACCGTGACTATATTTAGTGTAATTTATTATAAACGGGTAGAGTTTGTGATCTCAAATTATATCTAAATAATTTGCATCATAATTAATTTAATGTTCAATTCGCTTTTCTCTTCTTAATTAATATCTAAACAAGATACAAAATTTAATACTTATATATTACAATTATATATACAAGAATAAACATTCAAAATTAACATAAATGTACCCAATATTAAGTACATTAAATCCGGTCAACATTTTTAGGTCAAACAGAGTTAAGAAAATGTGAGCAAAAATATTACTCTTTGAACACGAAATACTTGTCTCACAAGAAAATATGTATTTAATGCCCAGAAATAGTACTTTGTATACAAATTCAAGTTCAGCCCATAACAAGTTTATGAAAAATAATATGCAACATAAATGTCATGAAACATTATTAATTATTGGAAAACAATTAAATGTTATTAATAAAATTAAAAAATTGTTTTCCTTGTGTTTACATTTGACCATGTTTAACAATAAAATTATATACTTGTTATTAATTAGTGTAACAATGATAGCCATCAGTAAAACCATGGGTCAGACGATACGCGGCACACATGATCAACCAGGTTTAATTGGCAATCACCTGGATGAGTTTCGTTGACCGGACACAATGGGTATTAAATGACATTTTCGCGAAGCGATTAGGAAAATAGAAAATCGTATACATTTGCCATTTATACCCTTCATTGGATAACATAATAAATTACCATGGTTGTGACTTAAGTACAGCATGATTGTTCATTTATAATGCCATGTTTTACAATAGTTCTTTCTAAATTTTCAAAATATTTTTACTTATTTATAAAACATTAAAATTATAAGTTATAATTGTTTTATTTAACTTTTTTAAATTGAAGCAATAATTAAGGTCAATCACAATTAATGTTAATATAACATATTTACAATTCAAATATTATTAAATACAAATACAATTAAATTGTTATATCAATTTGGCATAAAACTGTACATAGTTAATTTAACAAAATCTAAACTTTTATGATAAATTAGCATTTTATTTTTTACAATAACTAATAATTAAAAAAAATATTCTAATTAATTATAAATAATGTAAAATTAATAAAAATAATTTACAAAAAACGTGACAATTATTTAAATATCAGTAGAAATACTTTGTTTTACGGGCCATAGAAAGCGATGGATTCATTTGCAGGTGAATTGTGGCAAACCTTTTGCGTTGAGTTCGTGTCAATAGTTCCCGATTCTCGTCGTTAACGAGTGTTTTATTAACCGTTTTGTGGCCAACACTACAACCCATACAACACATCACAATTGAACACACGGTGAACACCGCAATACATACTATCATCGCTATGAACACGTATTGTTTGTAATCTGAAAGTATTTGTAAACAATTTTTTACCATAAGTAAAGTGACTGCTGGATCGTTTGACATTTCTCAATAATAATTATAATAGTAAATATATTTTTGAATAAATGTAATTCATATGTTATATATTTTTTGTGCATTTTGACTGTGGTAAAGCTCAAGGAAAGGGATATCCTGTATATGTATTACTAGTTAAATTTCAAATAGAAATTGTGTGCAGTTGTTACATTGTTCAATAAGATAAATGAACTCTATATTGTAAATGTCAATTAAAATTTACAATATTAATTTTGTAAAAATTAATATTTTTAACATGCTTCAATTTCATGTGGCTATCATTTGAAATACTGATTATTGATTTCCCGCCACACACTCTCCCGTTCCAGACCTAAAATAAACATTACACATTTCCCACAATGCTTTTCAATACGGGTTTTGGGGTGCGGGTCGGTTATAGGCCTGAAACGGGAGAGTGTGTGGAGGGAAATCATTGATCAGTATTTCAAATGATAGCCACACATCAAATGTATAAATTCTATGCCATAAACTTTGATGATAATCACTGGCCAGTGCTAGCGGGTCCCCGAACCAAACGATGCATTCACTTTAACGCTATTTACNACTGGCCAGTGCTAGCGGGTCCCCGAACCAAACGATGCATTCACTTTAACGCTATTTACGGTGCGGCGGCAATGGCCACCCGTAGTCAAAATTAAACAAATCTTTTTAGGAAACTTTAGCCAACTATCGGACCAACATATTAGTAAAATATTTTTTAAATTCAATAACTTTTAAATATGATAAGTCTATTTATTAACTTTTGGGTTAATAATTTTGTTACCACTTTACATTGAAATCAATGGGAAACTAGTGGGGCGATAATAAAAGTTTGTAGTGTATATTTTATACTGTATGCTTAATATTTAATTCAATTTTTTAAAATTATTATATTTACATGTAATTTTAAAATAAACTGAGAATTAACAGATAATTAGCTCCACAAACGCATAGGTATTGAAACAACTCATAGCTATTCATTGGAAATAAATCATAGCAATAGAAACCAATTTCTGGTCCGCACAACACCTCTACAAATGACATCAATTTTAACCGATTTTTAATTGAAATTATCGGAGATTTAGATAAATATGTCATCAATTGTGGTAACGGTTTGTGAGCGGACTTTGATATCCAAGTACTCATTACATTACAATAGAAAACTATTGTAAAACATAGAATAAGAAATGTTGAAAACCAAATTCTAGCTAATAAAGTACTTTTCGAATTATGTATAATATAAATAAATAATTGCATACCAATTGTCCCGATATAATAGATAATAAAGATAATGCATCGAAAAAATACATTACAATCCCTAACCCGTTGTTCCCAATAATTGTGTTCAATAATTATTTGCATTAAAAATTTCTGGTTATTAAATTTTAAAGCAATTGTCATATAATAATTTAATTGTTGAAATTTTGATTTAAAAACATAGGTTATTACATACCATAACATAAATCCAGCCCATGTTAAAGCAAAACATAACAAAATTGATATAAAATATATTAAATTAATAATTATTAAGTTTAATAATCTATATAGAGACCACTTTGGATATAAATATAACTGAATTGTTATATAAATGTGTATTACACTACTGGTAATGGTCAAAAAGATAGTGCTTTGATTGATTATATAATCGCTTAAGTGGGCATACATTTTAGTGAACTTGCTATTTATATTAAAAAATGAAGGGTATTTAAATGATTTCCATTTAACATGGTGAATAAAGCTGATTGGATACAGGCGTTGAGTATATTCCAGATATAATACCACAATAGATATTAAGAGATGAGCCGTGAATATAGCTGTGCCCGAGAGTGCGAGCAGTAGTTTATCGCCGAGATATGGACTCAAGTCGTATAGAAATGACAATACATTCTCATTGTCTACGAGTGCTGTTATAGCGTACCGAAGAGTAGTCACCAAAAGACATATCCTTACGATTATGGCCACAATTAATCGCCATTTCGTCTGATCTCTACTCATATACTGATCCGTGTCTTCATAGCAAACAACAAAAGTATTTTTGATAAATTTATAGAGTTTTTTGATACAATCAATGAGTCGATCGTATGATTGCTTATTGTGTTCCCACTGTCTATACAATACATTCAGACGCGTTATTCCAGCCATTGTTTGAGTTTAATTAATCTGAAATGAATATACAATTTATTATACAATTTACAAAAAATATGCTAATTAATGTATATGGTAATGCGGAGATTACCTTCTTATTAGAATTTAAGGCCGACAATTATCACTTAATTAATTATTTTTTAAATTATCTAGAATTCAGCTCGTTGATCAACAATTATTTGTTAATGAATTTAACTAAATAATATAAAATTTTAAACTTAAGTGATATATTTTTTAGAAAATTAGCTTTAATTTATATAATAATATTTGATATATAAAAAGTCTTTTATCATTAAAATAATGAAAATATTGAAAAACACTTTTATCAAACACGATATAAAATAATTAATAATTTAAAATCGCATGAATTTTTAAATATAATGTAATATGAATTTATTGCAGCTGAATTAACTATAATTAAAATGATAAATTATTGAATAAATTATTGCATGTTTTAATTAAATATGTAATAAATATTGATTATTACAATCAATTCATTTATGGCATAAATCTGTACAATTCATTGCCGTCTTCGGTCAGATTTAAATATATTTATATTTTGAAAACTTTATAACTATTTGTGAAAAGTATTTAACGGATAACTTTTTGTCAAATTAATTGTAAAATACTAACAATTTATTGTAAATTAATTGACGAGTTTTAATTAAATAAACTATTTATTATTATTATTATATAACACGAGCTGACACTACAATACATATTAAATATGAGACACGCGTTATAACAAACAAAAATACATTTAAAAGTTGTTATAAAAACTAAATAACTGTCAAAAACAATAGTATAGACGACAGCAA